ATTCTGTGATTCTGTGATTCTGTAATTGCGGGTCCAGAATGAGCAGAGGACGGCCACCGTCTGTGAGGGTGACTCTGAATGGGGAGCCCCAGGTGGGGGCTGAGCCTGGGGGCTTTGGGCACTTAGTGTCGGAACATGGGGGGGAATGGTGTTACGGGGAAGGCGAGAGGTTTCGGGACAGGCATTGTCTGCAGGGCAGAATTCACCTCAAGACTGTTCTGGTTTTTAAAGACATCCCCACGCTTCCCTCCAGCCCCTCTTGGCACCAGGCACCCCTTTACCACGGGGGCTCCTTGCCCGCCTGGGAATTGGTTCATCCATCGGGAGGATCCCACCACTGCCCTGAGCTCACCCCGAGCCACGCTGGGGACAGCCACGTCCAGAGGCAACACCGTGGTGGCTGGAACACCAGGGAGAGGGACAATTGGGGGGGGGATGCTCAGGGGCTCGGCACACCCTGCATGCCTGAGGGACAGGGACAAAGGAACCGCACAGAAACCCACGGACCCCGACACGACGTGGGATCTCATTTAACGGAGCCACACCAGAGGAGTTCGATGTCCGTGGTTCATTTCTCACGATCCTACCGCGAGCAGCCATCTCCCATGCTGGCTTTGCGGGGTGGGTCTGGGCAACCTTTTTTGGGGTTGGCGGCGCAGCTCCTGGGGCGTCCGGCCGGTCTGGGGGCTGCTGGGAGCAGCCGGGAGAGCTGCTCGACGATGCCCAGCCCTCGGATGAGGTTCTTGCGCTGCTGAAGAGTGTTCACCCTCCTCCTCTCCTCCTTTTCCACAATATCCTGGGGCTGCATGGAGTTGTACTGCATGTGCTGCATCTTGGGAGAGAAAACCCAGGGCTACAGCAAAGCCGAAGCACTGGAGATGTGCACGAGACACAAAGCCCAAGGCTGCTCCCAGCCCCAAGGAGAATTACGGACTTTGGGGTGGAGTGGGAGGGAGATCCCGGTGGGAGCCGCAGCAGGGAGGGGACAACAAGCCGTCAGCTCTCCAGGTGTCACAAAGGGGAGGCCAGCCTTGGGAGGCACCCAGGGCTGTTCCCAGAGCCACGTTTCTGCCCTTGAGAGCCCCGGAGACAGCCCTGGCGAGCGCGAGGTACCTTCCTGTCCCACGTCCTGGTGCTTCTGCAGGCGAGGCGGGATGCAGGAGCCTGGGTTTCGTTACGGATCTGGGATTTGTCCCCAGCTGACTCTCCCTGCAGCTCATCTTTCCTCTCGGTTTTCTTCTTCTTGGTAACAGCTTCCAACTTTTTTTTTTTCAGGCGAATTTCCTCCAGCTGCTGCCTGCCATGGAACAAGAGCCTCGTCACTGGTTCAATACGGGGCATGACACCAAGAGACTCTTATGAAGCCTTCGATCCGGGGATGCTTTACTGCAGTCAGAACTTCTGTAAATAGCCCATAACAAAGGTGTGCCAGGAACGGGCCAGGAGGGCTTTTAAATAGACTCTTCCCACTGTAAGCAATGCCCTTGGACTGGGGGGTGCAGCTGGAAGGGTGCAGGACACGTGCGCCGTGGTGCCTCCAGAGCCCAGCAGTCAGTGAACACTGCAGGTGCCTCTCAAGGGCACACGCCAAAGGACGTGGCTCTGCCCTGGCGCATGCTCATGCAGCCTCCTCCCTCCCAGCCCGCACCAGCGTCCTGACATCCGTAAGCAGCAGAGTTCAGAAAGGGACGAGAAGCGGGCGGTCTCTGGTGAGGAGCGGGTGTTCTGGAGCAGTGTACCTGGCACACTCCTCTCGTGCGCGGGATGCCACCGTCTCCTGGACCAGGGAGCTGCTCTGCCTGAAGAACGGCTCGTACTTGTCCGTGCCGCAGGCGGGATAGATGCGCCGGTACCCGCCCAGGTGCGAGTCCTCGTACTGCTCCGCCTGCAGCCGCCACGCAGCCTGGCTGCTCTCCAGCTCCTTGCGCCTGCGGACCAGGGAGAGCCAGGCGGGGAGCTGCGACAGGAGATGCTGCGTGCTGTCCTGGCCCCGACAGTGCTTTCCCACATCTTTCCCCCTTTGGGAGCCTGTTTCACACGGGTGCACTGCAGGGAACCAACGCAACCCGCACTGCTTCGTCCTCCATGCAGAGTGCTGTGCTGGTGAAGCATCTCCAGGTGTCTGCCCCGCTGCCCATGGTCACACCCTGCCCCTTGGCCAACTGACCCCATTGCACGATAAGTTCTGTTTAAACGTGCCTGTTCCAGGGATGTCAGCCGCCCTGCACGCTGCTGGAGCTCTCCTCCTTAGCAGGGAGCTCTCCTCGCTAGCAGGGAGCTCTCATTAGTGGGGAGCTCGGAGCAGCGAGGCGGCAGGGGCACGGGGTGAACACATTCCCCAGCTCCATCCCTGAGTGATCTCGGGTCCGACTGAGACGAGAGCTGGCAGGAGCTCCCCCCTCGCCTGCACGGCAGGAAGAGCCCGGGCAGCCGGCTCGTCTCGTGGAGGGACCTGCAGACAGAGAATGGGGGAACCCTCCCCCTGGGAGAGGAGCCCTGCTCTGGAGGGGCCCCCGGGTGCTCTCAGTCCCTGGAGCAGGGCTCATCCCTGCAGCATCCCTGTGAGCCCAGGGACGCTGGCACAGCCGTCGGCACCAAGGGATGTGACACACAGGCACAGCACGATGGGGATGGCTCTACAGGGCACTGGGCACCTCGGGTCTCTCTGTGCCCTTTTTCATCCTGGCGGGACGCGGATGGCTCGGGTGATCTCAGAGGCTCTGCAGTGCCACGGCCTCTGGGAGCTTTAACGCTTTAATGTGGGAGACAGCCAGCCTTGGTCCTGCCCTGCTCTGCCCTGCTCCATCTTTTGTCCCTAGGGACCCGCGGCACTGCGGGAAGAGCGATACCTGGATGCGCGGAGCGTCTGAGGGGACTGGAGGAGCCGTTCCTTCGCCCGCTGCTTGTCCTCCTCCAGCACCTTCCTTTTGTTACAGGCATGCACATTGATCAGGTTGATGGTGTCGCAGAGGAGAGCGTCCTTCACCTCCCGATCCAGGCGAGAGTCCGTGGTGAAGCTGGGAGAGTGGTTCACCTGCCGAAGCAAGCAGCTGCTCTGACCTCCCGGCTCCCAGCCAGCCCCACTGCACGCCTTCCAGGGATGCTCCTCCCCATGACAGTGACCGAAAGTGGGGGGCTACAGGTTAACACAACCCAACACAACCCAACCTAACCCAACATAACCCAAAACAACCCAACCCAACATAACCCAAACTGACCCAACCCGACCCGACCCAACACAACCCAGCACAACCCAGCCCCACACTCCTTCCTCACCTCGAGCAGCCACGGCTTCAGCGTTCTGTCCAACAGAATGTCGAACCCCAGGATCTCGAAGCAGGCACCGCTGCTGGTGTGGTTTGGAAAGCAGGTTTGGTAACTGTGCTTTACAATAGGGTGAGCTGAAATAAGAGTCTTTATTATAATATCTTCAATGTCTTTCCAGAGTTTTGTCGTGTTGTAGCTGTTGTCCGTCATCCAGGCGTTCAGGGTGGACAGTTTCCTGGGTGGAGGGCAGGAGATGGAAGAGCTGAGTTGTGACACTGTAGGTGCCCCAAGAAAGAGGGACATGAGCCGTTGTCCCAAACGCAGCTTTCCTGCGGGATGTGCACGGGGCATCGCGGTACCTGGACAGGACAATACCTCTTGCTGCCCATCGTGTCATCCTGGTTGAAGTTTTCGTTGTGTTTGTTGATGGCGTAATTGGTCAGGTGCATGCAGATGTCACCCTGGGGGAGGAACCGCAAGAGGCCGTCATCAACCCGTAACCACAAACAACCCGTTAGCGCTGATCTGGCACCAGCATCGCCCACTTCTCCCTCCTCTGTGTTGATGATGGGCAGCAAGGAGCTCATCGTGGTGGTGACCCCCCCTCTAGCCAGGAGCCAGAGCTAAGAGCCCCCTGTCCCTGGGGGGGACAGAGGAGTCCCCTCCACCAATGCCGTCTTCACTGATAAATGAGGGACGGAACCTGCAGCAGATGTCTGCAGCTTCTTCCTCTGTTCCCAGAGCAGGAGAGCCCCCAGGACAGGCATGTACCGCAGTGAGGGGGGCACAAACGCACGCAGCTCTGGGACACGCGTTGGGGAGCCAGCAGCAGCCCAGGCGCCTCGGGCCATGGCCATCCCACACGGGTCCATCCTCTGCGGGGGTCTCACAGGTCACAGACCCCTGCCCGGGGGTGGGCACGGCCACACTCTGCCCTCCAGCCCCCTCCCCATCCCTCTGAGGCTGCTCCGCTCCCATCGGACAACCCGCAGGACCCCCTTTCCCGGCCGAAGCACAGGCAGACGCCAATGCTGTGGGCTTGGGAACGCTCATGAGGGCAAGAGGCAGCGGGAGTGCTCCCCGGGGACACGCGGGGTCTCTGTCTGGGAAGTTTCTCCACACCTGAGCGGGTGAAACCCCCAGAACCCAGCTCTGCATTTACTGCTGACCCCCTTTGGAGCAGAAGGTCGGACCTGAGACCGTCCAAGGTTCCTTCTGAGCGGAACAGCTCCATGACTCCACGATGGTGCCAGTAAACAGCCCAAACTGGGGGCTGGGACACTCCTGGAACACCTCCTGGGAGGAGGAGAAGGAGGCATGGAGGAAGGGCAGAGCAGGAAAGAGGGAAGCTGGGTCCCAGCCCCCCCCAGCCCCTGCCTTGTCCCGGTCTGGAGTGCCCCCAGCACTCCCCCCTAACACCTACAGACACTACATGAGTTTTTTGGAAACTTCCCTTTTTTACCAGGTTTCTGCTGCTGGGATTGATGTACCTCATGGTGGCAAACCGCGCCAGCCCCTCCTTGTAGACAAAAATCCTCAGCGGGTCACAGGAGGTGACCAGCACATAGATGCGCATGTCAAACTTAAAGCCGTCAATAAGGAAAGGCTGCAGGGAGAAGGGCAGGAGCACGC